GGAGACCGCAAACACTGATTTCATGCACTGGTTTCCTCCGGAGAGAGAGGGAGTGAAAGAGAATCAAGGCGGGGTAGAGGGTCTCACTTACTCCCTGTATGTTTATGTGGACATATGAAATATGTAGATTGCAAAATGCAAAGTTGTGATACAGTTGGGTTCCTGACATTACTCTCGACTTTTCTCTAGCTTTGAAAAATACGTGTGTATTTGTCTGCACACACACACACACACAGACTAGGAGAGTTAACAAGCATCTTGCGATCGGTACTGGGCCCCGTGTGTCGGAGGATGGATGGACCCACAGGTCCTCTGCAGTACAGGCGCCGCTGGTTTCTCTTTTGCCGAGAGGAGCTTTGGCTCAAAGACCGGCCACCTCGGCGTTTCGCCAGCCCCTTGTCAGTGCTGGGTCTCTCGTGACATGTAATCACCAGGGCTCCGGGAGGACAAATTGCGGCTGCTGACAAGACCCGTCAGACCCCTGGGAACGGTCAGGCAGTGGAGGTCAATGGGAAACCAGCCCGGTTGCGCGTCCGCTCTCGCCGCAGAGTGAGCCGAGCTCTCATGTGGTCCCCGCGAGGTGAGACCGGGTGCCGAGGGGAGAGAGCGGCACACAGATCGGGAGTGGCTGGAAGGCTGCGGATGACGCGGCAGGGGGGAGGTGTGAAGCGGGAAATCGCAGTCAGCCCTGGCTGCCCTGAGCAAACGTGGGGAGTAGAGCTGAGACCAGGAGGCTGGAGGGTGGGGGAGGAGGGAGTTTGATCAGGGGATGTTTGGGGGACCTTCGAAGTCCCCGCCAGAAGCAGGCAGCTGTGGCTGGAGTTGGGTGTCCCTGCCTCTTCATCAGGGTCTGCCTCACTTCTGGGGCGAATACTAATGCCTGCTGTTCTGGAAACCGACTTAGAGACACACCTAAGAGCAGAGAGAAGAGAAGGAGGATGACTTGAGCGATGGTGACGAGGTTGAACCCCTCTTTAATCCTCCTCAGACTCTTTCCCTTCCTCCAGGGCCTGCGGCCCCCACCCTGGCTCGCCTAGATGGCCTCGCTGCTTCTTACCTGTTCTCCCAGCCTTGCTCCTCTCCTGCCCCACCTCTGCAAGGCCTCCAGAGGGTCATCCCACGCCCCAAGTTTCACTGTCCCTCTGCGTACAAAGTTTCAACGGTCTCCCTCTGCTCAAAGACTCCAGTCTGGACCTCCTAGGAATCCACCAAAGACCACCCCCCACCCCCTCTGCTACGGTCCTGCCTTCTGCTGGCAGTTTTCACTGGGGCCACATCCTGGGGGGAACTTTAACAATGCCCACCGGCTCCAGTTGAACCAGTGTGGCGAGCGTCCCAAGTATCGGATTTTTAGTTCAGCTTCCCGAGGCTTGGGGACACCTTCCTGAACTATTTGTGGGTCCCAGAGGAGGGAGGTGACCCTTTGGGGGACTTTGCTCCTGAGACAGCCACCCTTGGCCCAAAGCTACAGGACTGGTTCTGGCCACCACTGCCGTCTCCCGCTTCAGCAAGGGCGGGCCTGAGCGGGTGAGTGCCTGCAGCTGCCTGGCTGTGGGAGCTGGATCTGCCCTTCCACACCACCGCAGAGCTGACGGTGGGAGGAGGGCCGTCCCAGGTACCGTGGAAGGGGGGTCACCACGGAGAGTAGGACCTGTGAGTCAAGGTTATTTGCACTCATTAAAGTTACTGCCCAGAGCCAAACAGAGAAAAAGGGCCCGCCCCCTCCCCCACAGGAGCAGCTGCTGCAGGCAGGAGATGACTCTGTGTTGCTCCCAGTGCCTTCCCTGGTTTTCTATTTCTGTGCAACCAATTGTCACCAGTGTAGACGTTCAGAACAGCACTCGTGCCCCTCTCATGGTTTCCGCGGGGCTGGAGGCCGGGTGTGGGCAGGAAGCAGGGTGTGGGCCGGTGGGTCCCTGGCTCAGCATCTCCCACCCAGTGAGACCACCTGGCATTGCGGTGTCAGCCGGAGCTGTGGTCTCACAGGGGCCAGTCAGGGTCCTCGGCCCAACTCCGGTGGCTGACAGTAGAATGGATGCCCTTGTGGTTGTAGGTGGGACTGAGGTCCCCTTTCCCAGCAGGCTGGGGACTGCCCTCAGCTCCTAGGAGCTGCCCACAGGTCCCTCCTCTCCTCACCTGGCGGCTCCCCTCTTTGTGGCCTGCTGCGGAGCCCTGCTGCGGCCCGGGGTCTCTGTCGATGGCTCCCCTGAGGAGGTCAGGCCCAGCCGGGACAGGTCTCCTGGTAAACTCAAAGTCAGCTGAGTTCTATTTGCAAAATGGCTTTTTCTAGTGAAACAGAGTCAGGAGTGATGTCCAACGGGATGGGTCCTGTGATGGGTCCTAGTGATGGGTCCTGCCCACGCTCAAGGGCGGGGTGTGTGTGGCCGTCCTGTGGGTGGAGTGGGGATCTCAGGGCCCCTGTGCCCAGACTCACAGCCCCATCCTCATCAACCTCACCCTCTAACCCCGGCAGACTCACTGGGGACAAAGGACCTGTCTCTCCGGACCAGAAATGCCCTCCCGCCGAGCTCCCTTACCCGCTCCCACTTGGCCTTGCATGGCCTGCCTGGGTCACCCACCTGCCTCCCCCTCAAACCCCTCCTGCCCAGACCTTCTGTCTCCGCAGTCCGCTCGGGTGTGTAAAGCACACTAGAGGCAGCAGGGGGCGCTGCTGGCCTTGGCTGGGGGCGGCCACACCTGGACTCTGCTCACCTCCCTAGGATTCCCAGCTGTTTCCAGGGGTCAGGACCCTGTACTAGGAGGAGGTGGGCTGAGCTGGAGCCCCCGGTCCTCTGTGCCTGGGCCCACCCTGGTGCAGGTGGGTGGCAGAGTTCAGGGGCTCCCAGGGCCAGGTCCCCGGAGCGGATGTGCACACCCCCACCTGGCGAGGACGCAGCCGCAATTACAAGGGGGGCGGTGCCTAGTTGCGCAGCGGCCTGGGCCGCCCCTCTCGTGCCCTACTCATCCCTGAAGGCCCCTCCGGCATGCTGTAGCGCTCACCTCCTCCCCACTTCTTCCCTTCAGGGGGTCGCAGGAAGGTGATGGGACCTTCCCCCTTTCTCCTCCTCAGTGCAGGCCCCCTGGGTGGGCTCCAGGCCCCGCAACGCTGCCTCGGCCCTGCAGTCGGGGGCTTGTCTGTCTGGTGGTTGACCAGGGGCCTCCGGACATCCTGTGTGGCACTTTCTCTGATCACAGCTCCCTGCACTGCAGCGCCGCCCACGGCTGGGCTGCGTGCCTGCACAACACGTCACGCATGGCTTGTGTGGTTCGTCTGTGTGACGCCCCCGCCCCCTTCCTGATCGTTCCACTTGAAGAGATTTTCAGGAAGTTTCTGCACACCCCTGCAGAGCACATTCTTGGCAATTTCACACCCCCCCAGAGACCCCCAGGGAAACCACCGCTGTTTCCGCCCTTATGAAAATCACAAATTCCAGTGAACTCAGTGAAAAGCAGTCATTCGCAACTGAGGCGATGATAAAACCATGTGAAAACGTTAGATTTTGGAAGCATCACCATGCCTGTGTGACCGCAGCCACTCCTTACAATGGTGGTTGGTGGTGCTATGGAGCGTTAGAATGCATTTCTATGAGGAAAAGAATGGCATGGGGTTTTTTTGTATGTATGGGAATTTGCGGGAAACATGTTTTAGAAGCTTCAGAAATGAAGTTGACCTTGTGGAGAGCGGGGGTTTTTCTCATCATTTCCTCCCCCACTAGTTCGCTCATTTCAAACTCCTCGCTACCCGTGTGCTTTTCTGGCCCGAACGCCACTCCTGTGTGAGGTCACACGGCAGTGTGGGCCGTCACTGGCAGCATGAGGCTGAAATCAGCTTCGCTCACCATTGATCACATGTGGGCCTGTGTCTTTCTCAAAGGAGCGGACGTGGGTTCTAAACGTGTAAAAATTAGTCACACGTTCAACGTGAAAGAAGTGTGAGCCGAGTCGATTTTTAGTGTCAGCAAATCGTCATGCACACACTCAGGTCCTTCTGGAAAAGTGTCATCAGGATGCCGCTCACGGCCACTTAGGCTGCTGCGGCCTGTGTGCCACAGTTTCATGGACGCCGTTAAGGCGTCACACCCTTGCAAAGCTGTTTCCACTCGGACGTGATCCTGACTTTTGTCCCTTTTCTGAGATTGGAAGGTTTTATCCTGAGTTTGAAAACACTGCGTCAGCTTTACGAGGAGGGCACACTCCCCAAGGGCCACTCTCTGTGGGACACTCCTCGTGGGACGCAGTGCAGCTGCTCACAGGGTGCGGTTTGGTGGGCTGGGGGCGACCGAGCCCGTTGCACAGCTACTGTGTTGTTGCTGTGGCTGGTACCACCCTGCGGATCTGTGCCCTCGCCCTTCCTGCCGCTCACCCTCCAGTCCATGACTGTCCCGGGAGTGTCGTCCACTGTCCCACCCCAGCTCTCTCTCTCTCCCTTCCCGTCTCACTGCTCTGGCTGCCTGGAGACGTGTTGGGTTAAAACATGGAGGTGCACATGGCTCTCCTCAGTAGGAAGAGGGACACGTGCCTCACGAGTTGTTCCTTCTCAGGGACCTCGCACCGCAGCGAGGGAATCAGGTTGGGCAGGCCTCGGTGGGCACAGGAAGCCCCCCTCGTCTGTCGGAAGGGTCTCTGGCAAAAGGCTGCCCGAAATCCAGACACAGACTCAGGCAGACTTTGGGAATGTGACTGGCCTGTGCCATTTAGTGTCTTCTACGGGCACCTTCCAACAGACAAGAGGACTTTTCAAACGGGCGATCACCCTGGTGCTCAGAGGGCGGTCCTCTCACGTCACCTGCCCAGACGAAAGACACTCTTCAGTGTTTCACCCACTGCCCCTTTAGTACGTGACGTGCCCTCGGCAAGGCCGACCCTTTGTCAGCCGGAGCAGAGGTGGGAGCTTCTAAATTCAGAGATGAAGGGACGGGTCTCGAGACCGTGGATTCCAAAGGGTTCGCGGACTGACCGGCAGAAATAAAGGGACGACAAGGCCACTTTTCCATAAAGAGCATGTCGTGTGGATTTATTATAGAATGCAGTTAAAAAAAATACTCTGAGGTCAGCCTCTCTGGTTCGAAAGCACTTACCTGGGAACTCGCGAATGGCTGCCCCGCCCCGGCCCCGCCCCCACCAAGAACCGTAAACAGGGATTGGAGAACATTCAGCCAATTTCTTGATGTGAACAATCGAATTTACTCGCTTCTTAAGGAGAACCGTCTTTTAACTTTCCAAAGCATGCACTGTTAACTTGGCATCAGGCATTTCAAAATGACAAACTGTTACAGCATTTGTTAAGGCCAAAATATAATACCTATTTACCAGACGTACATATACATGACAACTAGAAGAAACCCACAGACACTAACGAGGGTGACAACTCCATCGGGAACGAACGGGGAAGGCACTGCACCCCTCTCATGTCATTGCCCATCCACTGTCCCTGTCACATGCTTGGAATTCAAGTCCCGCCCAACATTCTAAAGTGTTTTTCACAGCGCACGGTCACAGGTGGGTCACTACACCTTCCGCTCTTCTTCCATACTTGTCTACCCAAGTGCACAACAGGTCAGAATATACGCTACCAGCTTTATTTACAAGTTTATCTGGATGGTGCGGTGGGTTAAAAGAAAGAATCAACTATTTTAACCAACCATCCCCAGGAAAGGTTTGGGCTGGGACTCATCCATCTCGATCCCTCACGTGTGAGGAGCAGATGAGACCGATTCCACCCCAGGACACCAAAGCGGAAACTTCTCCTCCCCTGGAAGCCGGCAGTGAAATCCTCTGAACTGTGTGAGCAGGACCTGGCCTGGGAGTTTCCGACGGACCCTTCCGTGAAAGCACAAGGTGACATGACGCGCCGGACGGGCCGGGTGACACGTTCCAGGCAGGATTCCACGTGTGCTGTTGTCGTCAGGAGTCTCGAGTCCCGAAAGGTGCTAGCTTCCAAGCACCTTCCTATCTTCCCAAAACATGCAACGTGACGAGGGCGTAACTCTACGTGGGACAAGGGTTAGTTTTGGAAATCAGTAACACATGCACCGACATCGGGCATGAGGGAGAAAACCAGACGCCACGACACCCCCACGGCCCGTGGTTCTCCCAGCCTTCGTGCCGCAGACGCGGCATGGTCTCGGGCGCCTCTCACAGCAGGGGAGGGGCTGCCCCGGAGGGCTGCGTGGGAACGGACCCCGGGCCCACCAACCAGCCTGCCCTCGGCAAAACCAGAACCCGGCAGGAAAGGACGAACACAGAGTGCTGCGGTTATCGGGTGTCCTCGAGACTCCCTGATGTCCTTGTGTGGGTGCCCGGCACTCAGCGATCGGCCTGGGACACCCTGGGGCCGTGGACATCGGTGTGCAGTATCAGAGCCGGGAGACGAAGCCTTGATCCTCTTCTGGGCAATGGGAACTGGAATTCCCGCCCCCGTGATCGTGGCTGCCACCTCCACAGTGGTGACCGGCCACTCCCACAGCCAAAGATTCCTCCCCGTGCATCTGACTTGGGGTTCTTTGTCCGGGAGCCCGTTCAGCTCAAGTGGAGGGGTGTGTACTCCGGCCGTCGGGTCTGGACGATTTTGGGCTTGGGCCTCCTGGTCCTCTCCACCTCGTCCTCCTCCTCCTCATCCTCCGGGTCGCTCTCGCACACGTGCACCACCACGCTCGGGGTGGTGTCGGTGGCTGCATGGAGCTCGTACTTCTCCCCTAGGGGAAGAAAGGCACCGCTTGGTGACTCGGGCGGGAGCAGAGAGCCACCTGGCAGGAGTGGATGGGGAAGGCCTGGGGACCAAGGGACACGGCCAGACAAGCTCTGGGCTGGGAGAGCAGGAGGCGGGGTCTCTTCCTGCCCCTGCCCTGGACGCTCTCTCCATGAGGAAGGCACTTTTGTCCTAAAAAGGGGGGATGCTTTCCTGGATGGCACCAGTGAGACTGGTATCACTGTAACTGCATTGGAAAAGGCCCCCAGCCCTCTCGGGAGAGATCGAAGGTGGGCGGTCAGCTGGGCCAGGGGGCACCCCCGCCGGGAAGCAACCCCTACCAGCCTCCAGTCAGTCACAGCCCAGGAGGTGCAGGCGCAGAGCCCCGCCTGCAAAACCCCTGCCGCTGTGGAGACTGCACAGCGCGGCCGAAACAGGAACTACATTATTTGTGCTCGTTGTTACGGAAACTAAGGGCATGCTGATTTTGTGAACTCTGTTCCAAAAAAAGCTTCCGAAGTGAGCCTTGTACAGAGCAGGGGCAGATCCTCGGGCGTGGGGGACCTTCTCTGGCAGCGCTCCCCGCCTCTGGGGTGGCCTGCCCCACCTTCCAGCTCGGAGCCCCGGGGACGCCCACCCTCGGCTCCGCTGCTCACCTTGGCCGGAGTGGCCAGGAGGAGCCTGTGCTTCCTCAGACTGGCCACGTCCACCTTGACCTTCACACCGCCCGCGATCGGCAGGAGGAATACGAGCCTTGCTTTCTGCCCCAGAGGAAATTCCCATCCGGGCAGTGTTTTCAGAAATGTGATCTTTTCAGCAGGAAACTGCTGACAGCCCCAGAAACGAACGCCCCCCGCCCAAAGGACCGTGGGGTGGCTGGTCAAGAGGAAACAGGGAGCGGCCAGTCTCAGCGTGCGCCCGTCGGCTGCACAGACGGGGCGGGGCAGGGGCTCGCACCCCTTCACCCCCCCACCCACTCCCTCACCCAGACCCTCTATCACGCAGGACGGGCGCCACGGCCACTTCACAGTTTCTCACAGGCACGGACGAGCCAGGCCCTGCTGAGCTGCTTTTCCGTGGGACGGGCCCAGGCCTGCGTGCTCATGCTGTGGCCGGGTAACAGGCCCGTTTCACGGGGGAGGGGCCTGCGGCCAGACTGCCGGGAACCTCTCCTGTCCCTGTGCTCTCAACAGGGGAGCAGCCCCGGGAACCCCGAGGGGCAGGGCTGCGCTCCTTCTGCCCCTGGGCCACGGTTCTGCCCTCCCCCAACACTGAGGAGGGCAGGTGAAAAACCACGTCCAGGACAGAGCGGCCCTCACCAAAAATTCCTGAACGTGGGGGGGTCAGCTTTCCTTTTCCACAGTCCAGCTGCTCGTCCCCACTCGGGGTGACAGGACCTGGGGCCTCGGACCACCCACACAGGCTGTGCCCCGCGGGTGAGGGGGCAGAGTCCCGTGGTGCCTGGTCCCCACGAACCAACCGCAGTCCCTAAGGACTGAGGCCAGAGGCTGGCACATGCGCCCCAACACGAGTTATGTGCAAACAGAAGATGTGGACGGAGGACATCCACACCTGCAGCAATCACACGGGGCCCAAGGGACCATGGGGCGCCACGGGGCCCCAGTGGGGGCGGGCATCTGCATCTGGGGCCTTCGGAGCCATCTCTCCACGTCTGCTGCCCCCACCCCCGCACAGGGGAGCCTCGCTTACCTGGCCCGAGCTTGGAGATCGCACACAAGAGGTCGTAATTTATGACGGGCGTGGCATCTTCCACTTGTTTCCAACCCACGGGCGGCGAGGCGGGCGGAGAGATCAGAAACTGCTTGTCGGGGTTCGGTGGGGCCAGGTGGGAGCTCCCTATGTGCAGAGTCTGGGGAGAGAGAGGACGACGGGCGGATGCAGACGCCGTGTGGCAGCTCCGTCCAGGCCGGGCAGCGGGCGGGGGGCTGGTGGGGTGGCCTGGAGGGCGTCCGGCACTGGCTGGCGCAGCTGGGACTCACAGGGGACCCTGCTGGGCCCAGACGGCGGAAAATAGACATGGCTTTTGCATAAATGGAAAAACAAAGCCACTGGGTCCAGGTTGGAACCAGTGGAGAAATACCTTCCTTCCAGCCCTCACATCAGAGGCCCAGCAGAAGCTTCGGCAGCCAGGGGACAGGGGACAAAGCAGGGACGGGGGCCCATGGCAGTCTCGAAATTCAGAGAGAAAGAAAAAACACCCCTCTTTCCATGAGACGGAAAAATAACAAGGCAAAATAACCCAGGATTCCAGTTTCAGCCCGACCAGAAAGCTCTTACATCAAAATCTCACCAGTGTGGGGGGGGGCGAAGGGGTGGGGCAGAAAGGAAAAGGACTGGGGGACTTGAACGACCCTGTGGTGCTTGCAGGGGGGCGGGGCATAAGGGGGATAAATGGTAACGGAAGAAAATAAAACAAAAAAACATCTTCCCAGTTTGGGTATCCCCCCCACCAATTTCTACACTGCATTTACTTGACTAATCAGAAACAGTCGTGGAGGGACTAAACAGTGACTTATACGAAACCACCAAATGCAGGAAGGGGCGCATTCAGAGCTGAGCGTCTGGAGTCAAAGCCTACGCCCAGCACACACCACTAGGGGGCGGAACACAGAACACAGAGCCCCAAGGGGCTCACTTCAACTGGGAAGCAGCCCCCCAGAAGCTCCTCCCCTTCCCTGTCAACCCGTCCAACCAGACCTGTTACGGCATCACATGGGGCTCTCCCAGGGAGGACCCTGGAGGGGGGTGAGCAGGGGAAAAGGCTAATCCAACTCAACCTCCTGGCTGGGCTGAGGTGCACGCCTGCCCGCCCGCTGCAGACCAGCCATTCCCCAGGGATGAGCGGCGGCTCCGTCTGCACCCTCGGGCGAGTTCACGGAAACCCACTGCCCTGATCATGGGGAATCGACTGCCCCCTCCTCCCCTGCACCTTCCCCACTGATGCCAATACTCCACCCAAGAAGGCCAAGAAGTTACTTCCAAATACACCCTGTTGTTTCTTGTGAATAGATGAGACAGAAAACCGGGAGGAAGAATTTTGCCTTTCTCAGGATGAATTCTTACAGTGTAAAATCAATGCGGCTACTGATTTTAAAAGAAGGGAGAGTGCGCATAGCAGTACACTCAACTCACCTGAGCAAAATACAATTTCATCTCCTTCCCGAGAAATTCGGTCTTATGCAGCTGCAGCCTGGCATCTGCCGCGGATAAGGGGTTGCTGAAGTTTATTCGGACACGTTTGAAGCTCTTAAAATACTGAAAGGTGATGTCCTTGTCGTACGTCCTAAAGAGGGATTCAAATTTGGCCTGGAAAACAAAAATAAAAGGCGTTAAAATGTACCTTTCTGTGACCTGACTGGCCACCTTCCTGACATTTCTGACCGAGGCAGCGGGTCACCGGTCCCCTCCAGATCTCCCGACTTCTTGGAGCAGAGAGAGCGAGCCCCTCCCCACTCTCGAGATTCTTCGCGGCGCCCCTTTAACTCGATCATGGATGGTTTTCTAAGAAAGGAGGAATGTACGACGGACTAAACGCACGCAGCAGACCCACTCCAATACGTAAACACCCCCCATGGCCACAGACACATTCTTCTTCAAGGACAACGAGCATCCCCAAAGTGCACTCTGGCCACCTGTCACCCCTCTGGCCTGATGGAGGGGAGCCCCGTGCCCACCGCTGCACCCCCGGACCCAGTCCCGGGTCCAGCAGGTGTGTCTCTGGGGATTGTAAGCAGTGGAACTGACCTGAGAACACACGGTTATTGACTTGGAAAACAACGAAGTTACGAATAAGAAGCCTTGTACTTTTTAATGTGAGGGATGGAGGTTAAAAAAAACTCCCACTATTGCTTCTCAGTCTGCTGCCCTTTAACACAACACCGGCCTCGGGACCACTGAACTGCACGCGGAGCCAGGCCTGCACACTGGCTTCAACACGCGTGCTCGCCTGCACGGTGACCTGCCTGGCGGTGATTACAAGCACAGCCTGAGCGCTCAGCCCGGGGATGCCAAGTTCAACGGTCTCACGTTTATATTCAGGAGCGAGCGCATCAGCCTCCTGAGCAGGTTCTGAGGGGAGCTCCCCAGGGCTGGAGGTGTTTGTGGGGGGTTGTTTAAGGGGCACTGGGTGCCCACTGCAGTCCCTCCCAATTCCAGCCAGAGAGGGTATTGACGGACAGACAGTTGGAACTTGGAGGACTACACGTGGACTTCTGGTGGCCATTATTTTCTGGCTGAAGAGAGAGGTGGGGCAGTGGGCCCCGCACACAGGTGAGGGATGCAGGAAGGCGCTGGGCCCGCCAGGGCTCCGGGGACCTATGGGGAGCCGTGTTCCTGCAGAGGGGAGGGGGGCTGCCAAACAAGAGGGCGCATCCTCTGGAACGCTGGGTGCTGGGAAGCAGGGAGGGAACCGGCCTCTGGGGACGTGTCCGCCCCCCCCCGGGCAGGGCCGCGAGCAGGTCCGGTGTGCCAGTTGCCGGGTGACCCCACCAGGCAGGTTGTGGAGGGGCAGGGGGACCACACAAACTTTTGCTCTTCGAATTCCCTGGCTTTTCTCTAGTTCATAGCCATGTCTGCGACTTTCCCAGGAGGCCTTGCAGAGGCAAAGAGCGAGAAAGGGGGCAGAGCAGACACTCAGGCTGGCGGCACCGGGCGGCCTGCAGCTTTCCCCGCCTCTCTCCGGCGTGGGCAAGGTCCTGGCATGGGTGTCCGCACACACTTGGCGTCTCCATGACCTCATCAGTAGGCACTGTGACCAACTGTGCAGTTTTGAAGTTATGATTCATAATTTAGGAGAGATGACTTTGACGAGTATTTTTAGACTCCAAGTCAGGGCTCAGGACCAGGACACCAGTGAATGCACGTGAGCTTTTAAATCCATGTTACTGCTGCGTAATTCTCTTAAAAAATGCTCTTACTTGTTCCGACAGCTGGTGTTTCGCTATTATAGGGCTTGGTGGCATCTCTACTTTGCTAAACTGGCAATTTTACTCACATCAGGCTAATAGTAAATACATGTTGTACTTTTAAACATAGAATGTGCTCTAATATTTAGTTCAAAACCTACAACCTGGGTTGGCAAGCTCAGTATTTATACTTATGGAGTTAAATTTGATTAAAGAAGAAAAAAGAAACCTTCACACATCCAGTATGGCTTGGAGTATACGGCATGTTACACGAACACCACCCCCCAGATGGAACATACAGAATCCACTCATACACAATATTGGTGATTCATTCATACTCAACATTGGTAAAGCTCATGGAGATAGCTGGGGTGGTACTGATGAAAACCTTATATCCTCATTAAATGAAGAAGAAAATTATAGTAATGAAAGTGACTAATTCTATTAATTACCAACATCGAGAGCTGCTTCCCAGGAGGTACACTTACCCCACACTTATTTATTAAGTTTTATTATTGCCACGGCTGCGTTTTCTCAAACTAGAGAAATCTGGAATTACTGCAAACACGCAAATGCCTTTACAGCATTCATTTCCTAAGATAAAATCAAATGATTCTGAACTCCAGATGCCAAAGCCAAACGTCCCATTCACTAAGAACTTCTGAAACGCTCACCGGGAATGAAAAATACCCAATGCTCCGAGTCTGCCGCCTCCTCGGTCAAGGGGTCTGGATGTTTTAAAACCCTGAGAACTTTAAAAATCCCTCACAGTTAACTCCTTAGGAGACAGCTCTTGATTTTTAAGGCTCAAGGTATTTTGGATTATTTCCAAAGCCCCAAGCCCACAGGAGATCCACATACTGCCCCCACCAATATTTCGGTTAATAGTCCCAGTTAACGTAATGCTTTGAAAACTCTAAAAAACCACATTATATAAGAAGCCTTACCCTTGTTTCACTTTCGCTGAAGACATCACTGTTTGCCACACAGGCAATCAAGGAGCTAAAACTGTAGTTAAAATTTCTAAAATGCATCTTCCTTCCTTACAGGGAGCACACTAGAGACGCACCCGGGTCAAGCGCGAGAGCGAGGCTGCTTTGCGAGTGAGCGAGCGGCTGGGGGCCGTCCGCGGAGCCGCGGCTTATAAAGCGCAGCGGCGGCCCAGCCCCCTCGGGGGAAAGCGCAGCTTCCAGCGCATCCTGTTTGGACAGCGAATCCCTGAGTCAAGCCCTGCGAGCTCCGGCGGACAGGGACAGAGTGTGAGTTTCTGCTGGAAAGAGGTGACGTCAACGCCTTAGTCAGTTTCCCTATGCTAATTAACGCTGCCCGGGCAGGATGGAAAGATCTGCGAGGTTCTCTGCAGCTGCCTCGCCGGCCCCTGCAACATACTTTCCATCGGTAGTAATTCCACTCGCGCTCAGACCCCGCGCTCCAGCGCGCTCGGGGGGCGACCCTCCCTAAGACGGAAAATGTTACAACAGAGGAGGAGGAGGAAGGCCCGCGGTAAGCAGCAATTAGCCTCCAGGGGCTTTTCAAGGCTTCGGGAAACCTGGACCCTGGCCCAGGCCAGCTGTCTGATCCTTGCTATTTCCTGAAGAACAATAAAAGTTTCATACTGGGGCAGTAAAGAAAACATCTGAAGCATCTTGGTCAATGAACTGAGCTTCTAAAGAAAACAGTGTAATTCATTGTGAAATATGCCCCCCCCCCTTAACTGAACTTCGCTGGGCGAACGCCCCGATGCCCACTTGTATTGCACACTGGTGCTGTGGCCAGAGGACTTGTGCAATGACAGAATTTTCGCTGGAAAACTCTATTATTGTGATTTGAGAGCTAGCAATATGCAACGCTTTGACCATTTCATCACAGCTACTGAACTCAGAAGAAGCGACAGAAACATTTAAAAGAATCCAGCGTATGAAGTTAAGAAAAACATTCAGAGGGTCTGGCTGTGAGACTCCTAAATTTTTTTTAAAACTAGGAACGGAAGGTGCAGTGGGAGGGATGTGCGGTGCCGCTGGGAAGCTAGTCCAGCCGGCCTTTCTCAGTTTGCTTCCGGGCAGTATCTGTGACGGCTGGACCTTCCAGGCACCTGAGTAGTCTAGATCCTCTGGTTAGTCTGGGTCCTGGGTCCCTCCCACTCTCCCCAGGTCCGTTACCACCTGAAAGCATTCTCCAGTGTAGGCACACAGGGGCACCTTGCAAGCTTCCCAAAGTCCAATGGGAACTTGCCATTATTCACTTCTACAGAGTTGGCCAAAAATACACAGAATATATGTGGCGGAAAAGAAACAAAACAAACCAGAACACTAATTCTTCCAAAAAAAAAAAAAAAAAAGGAAAAGCGAAGACTTGGATGAGTGAGTGTTCCTCAGCTTCCTTGCAGGTAGAAAAGATCTACCTGGGCGTATTCTAGAAAACGGAACACTGTGAACGAAATGGTGTGCATCGAGCACCACTGGGGTGCTCGGGAGGGGAGTGGGTGCAGCGTGTCCTGAGGGCCCTTAGTGGTGCTGGCGGTGTGGGTACGGGAGGTGTTGGGGCAGCCAAGGGGGAGGGCGGGAGGGTGGGCACACGGGGCTGCACTGCACCCTCCGGAGGGGCTGGACCTCCCCTGGGCGCCCCACCCACTCCGACCCCATCCCCCACTCCGGTCCACTGTGGCAAACAGCTGAAGGGCGATCAGTGGAGGGGAGGAGGTGAATTCCGCTGTCTTCTCTCGTAAAACACACCAACATGAAGCTCTGGTTCAGGTGTGGGGCGAATGTGGACCGTTTCTGTTCACCCGAGACAACAGTGCTGAATTCCCCAAATCTGCAACCATTATGTGGGTGAAAAGAAAAAAAGAAGGGTATTTGGAGACTGACCAACTGTCCCCACGCACAGAACAAACGAAGGATGACCGCTCTCTCACTGGGCTGCGGAAGTTTCATGGAATGTGTAATTCTGCACCTGCCTCTGAACTGATTTCAAGTGCCGCCTGAATCAAAATCAGTGAACTTGAGTGCTCCCTTTCTACATCAAGGGAGGGGCTCAGAACAGTGGTCAACGGCGGCAAGGCGGGGTGGACAGGACGCTGGGTGGCAAACATCACCAGCCCCAAATGGTACCTGGGCCGACCAGTGCAGGCCCTCTGCCTCAGAGGGCAGGTGTGGGGCAGACTCAGGTTTCCGGCGTGCCAGGCTGAGCAGCGTGGCTCCTTCGTGGTGCTCCAACACCGTGGCTGGCCACGGGCACAGACACCAGTCCCTGTGCCCAGAGGCAGCACCGCATTCCCTCTCCCCAACGCCCTTCCACTTACCACCGACCTGACCGTGTGTGCGGGACGCCCGCCCTGGGACTGCACGTGAGCCCGGACCTCGAGGACCTCTGAACGTCCTGTGAAAAATGATTCACTTTGTA